TTTTTGTGAAAAATAGTCTCAGGATAAATTCTTTAAATTTTTATCTGCAAAAAAATTCTGAGTCTGAGATAAATTCAATAATAATCGCAGCCTTTGGTATTGTTGATACGTCAGATACTTTTGGTGTATGTCAGATTGAGTTTACACGTGTTTTTGGGCAATCATTGGGGCTGCATTATCTTGACCCCTTCTTGCAAGTACTCCAGGTAGGACAGGGTGGGAATCGAATGGAGGTGAGGCAATCGCAAACTGCGGTGCCTGGTCCTCATGCAACATTGACCGAATAATCGAACGTTTTATCAGAAATTGACATCAACATAACAATAAATCGAGAGCAGTTGCTCGGCGATCTGGCATCACTTCTTTCGTTTAGAACGAGCGTTGAATCGTTTCGGGGCAACATTGTTATTGAGATTATTCTTTTCGGCCACGTTAAGAATCGTCATAATTGTATCTCGATTACTTCTTGGCTTTTTTCCTGAAGCAAAAAGATTTTCCACAGCGTAACTGCATTCAACAATTCATTCTCGAAAAAAGTACGCTCTGACTCCAATTGGGTGTCAGTGCACTGAAACCCATCCCCCGGGTAGGCGTGGTACCCGCGAAAGCGGCCGCCAAAGTTTTTTTGGGGTAAGTTCATAGCTCGGGAATCTGAGAAGCTAGAACGCTGAAATCTTAGGGGGATGTTCCCGCATTTGCGCTTAATTTGAAATAATAGGTGGGAGATAAGGGATCGGACTAAATGTTGTGTGCAAGAAGACGAGGAGTGAAATGTGGGGAGAAGACGGTGGAGGGGAATACTTACAACATTTATTCACGGCTGAATGCTTAAATGCGATGAGGTAGCAGTGCTTAGCATGCATACAAAAATCTCAAAACAGCTAAATTCTTGCCAGTTCCTCTGCCGGGAAAACAAATGAGATGGTAATTCCCCCTTCGAAGGCGGGTTCTAGGATCGTCAGCCGCTGAACAACAGACGATACAGCAACTGGAAAAGTTGTTAGTTGCACAGATGCGGAACCAGATGGCGAGACAAAAGTTATTTTTGTTATTCCAGGCGTATCTGAGCAAAACTTGCAAAAGTTTTTTCAACTTCGCCACAATGGCTTTTCACCTAGCATAAAATTGATATTTGGAACTTTTTTCGTTTTGAAATTATTGGGTCAACCCGTACTCGGACGCGAGTTGTTTAGTCAGTTAGATAAGAATGAAATTTTTTCCTTAATCCTCGGTTTTTCGTTGCACTTTGTTTAGTGTTATTTTTTTGTTGTCACTGGTGCAACTGACAACTACTCTTTTCCTTGGGCCTCTTTCATTTTCACAGTTCGACTAGCCGTTTTAGCGATACTTTTCACCTCATTGGCAGTCTTTATGTTCTTTTGACATTGAGCACTATTCAACAGTACGCTTTGTCCATCTGTTGTCTCTCATTCTAACCAACTGGCCAATCAACTTTGGAGGAAAAAATTTTGTCATATCTTGTGGAAATACATGTGAGGCATATAACTGGAGAGCAGAAATGCACACAAAACAGAGTATGCTGCTATTAACTGGTTGTAATGTTGAAAGGTTATTGAAGCGACTGGGAAAAGCATTTGCTGTGAGAAGGGCATGTTGCGCAATTTGCCGATTAGGCATATTGTCAAACCGTGTCAACCACTCGGACGCTATCGAAGACTAGCTCACGTGCGTGATGAAGTCGATGGAGATGTGGCCTGTAAACAGATGTGGCCTTCGATATCAGTAGTACTGCTAATAGCCTGGCCGACTAATGCGGAAAGTAAGCGTCGAATTAGCAGCTAAGCACCTGGTTGGGAATAGGCCGACTTGATCTCCTCTCGCTTGCTTTCCGCTTGTTCTTTGTACACTTCATCGGCAACACTACCCTAAAATATTCATAAATGAAAATTAGCATAAAAATTGAGTTCCCACTGGGTGCTGTTATTTCCGAATCGAAAAAAAGATGAAGTGTTTCGTTCGGATCGAAAAAATGCTTCTGTCTCCTGCATGTTCCCAAAAGTGAAAATTAAAATGAAAAGTATCTCTTAAACTGTAAAAAAAAAATCTAAAAAACAGTTTGCAGTCACTTTCTTGAAAGACTCCGTTAAATGTCTTCAATGCACTCATTTTTGATCTCCGAAAAAACCCCTTCTTCTCCTTTAGGGATAAAGCTCACAGTATGTATGCTGCAACTTTCACTGCACACAGTGATTTAGTTCCATTTCCCAAAGCGGTACTGCCGAGGATCTGTTGTGTCTTAGCTGCAGTTTCCCCGAGCTGATGACCAAGGAGACGATTTCATGTATTATTGTCGACTTTAGTTTGTGGCCCTTAACAAATCTTTAAATATACTAATTAACTTTTTTTTTAAAAAGAAACTATAACTATAATCTGTTGAGAAAAAACATGAAAATAAAGTCCACCGCTAAGGATGGCTTTTTCTAAGATAATTTCCCGTCACACAGATCCAGTTTTTTTGGCTTTTATTCATAGGCTCAAATTGTTTGAACTTACCTTCTCTTGTTTTTCGGATTTGAAAAGGAACTATCAAGTACAAACCGTCAAGAAAAAAATATAAAAGTAACTTTTTTTAAATGAGCAAATGAAAAAAGAGCAAAAAAAAATGTGTTTGAGAATAATAAATCTGCTTCAGAGACCTTCATCTGAGACATTTTAAGATCCAGAATTTTTTCATAAAATTCGGTTATTGGATCGTCCAGTATTATTGATTCACGTTGCGGATGCATTGCCCTAAATACAAAAGAAAAAAAAAATAAAAACGTGAAATTCTTCACTTCTTCAGCTTTTAAGAGGCAAAAAAACCAATTGATAACTCATCAATTACTGCCCTGGACTGAAAGTCCCTTTTTTTAAGTTCTCAGTGCAAACTAAGCTGAAAGCTAGTGGATTGTCTACCAAGACAACCAAATCTACTAATCTTTGCAGTGCAGCGAAACAACGGACCACACGTAGCACAGATTTGTTCAGCAACGAGTTGAAGTCATGGAATTTTTCCTGGCAACTGGGGACGAGTATCCTAGCTAGGTACCGCGCTTCATTTTTATGCGTTTTGTGCTGTGTAACAGCAGTACAAAACGCATATTGTTACGGGGTTGT